AAAGGCTAGAATGAGAGGAGAGTGGAAGCTTTTGAACTCCATGGCTGACATGAGCTATGGCGGTGGTGGTGCGTGAATGTGGACCGTTTTAGCAAAAAATAGTGGGCATTTTTAATTAGAGGAGATAATCAAGGAGATAATCTATTCCTTAAATAATAAATAGTTTGACTAAAATTTGAATTTTGCATGTGTAATAATTTTGTAATTTTACAAATAACATTAAATCAAGTGTAAAATTGTTATATAAATAAGATATTGTTGCATGTAATGCAAATTCCTCTTGCGTTTTTTGTTTAGACATGTGTAGATTTGTGATTTTTTGGGCCCAGTTAGGGCCTTGACTATTTACAGGTCGAGGATCACGCCTCAATCTCCCACCCTCCTTGGTGTTTCTCTTTTTCAATTTTTTTTTTTAAAAAGTATGCTGGCCAAATAAGAAACAAACACGTGTACTACAGTTTTTCTATAATAATTTTACATTCACTTAAATATAACACGACATAAGGGCCCTCACACCTCCACCATTGCAACCTTTCCTCTCTCTTATAAAACCCCTTTCTATCCCCAGATACCATTGTTTTATTGAATTAAATTATTGCACAGCAAGCAAACCATTTTCCCGCCTCCACGACGCCGTTTTGGAGCTCCCCACAAGGTACTATAGCTCTATATTATCCTTTTCTCATCTGATTTCTTACAGATTTTTCTCATCAACATTTGTTTTTAATCAAAGATACTGTTATGGCGGAGCAACCGTCGACATCGAATTCCGATACGAACCCCCACCCGCGTCGCAAGAAGCGAATAACAGCCGGGTCGAATTCTCCCTCCGGGCCCCCGGCAAATGGAAGACCGCGGACGAGCAGCGGATCTACTCGTCGAGGCTGGCAGACGCGCTGCGGTCCTTCCGCCCCTCGGACTCCACCGCCGTCGCCGTTCGCGATGCCGCCGACCGGGTCCTCGCCGTCTCCTCCAGGGGCAGGACACGCTGGAGCCGGGCGCTGATGACCCGCCGGCTCGGTCTCCGGCTTTCCCAGATAAGGAGGAAGCACAGGCGGGCCGCGAGACCGGACGCCGGGCCAAGAAAACCGGCGTCCCAAGGGAAACTACCGCTGCCGCTGCAGAGGAAAGCGCGGGCCTTGTGAGGGTTGGTCCCCGGTTGCCGGAAGCTGTCCCTCCCGAGCCTTTTAGAAGAGACGGCCGATTACATTGCGGCCCTGGAAATGCAAGTCAAAGCTATGGCCTTTATCGCCGGCGTTATTGACGGTGCCCCGGGCCGTGGCGGAGGAATGTCATCGGTAGATTGAGGAATTAGGGGTTTTCTTTTTTTCGGTCTTCTTTTGATTTGTCTTGTTATTTTTGCGCTTACATTTCTTGTAACTGAAGGCTAATTAGTTGTTAGTGTGTGAATAATTGATTAAATTATGTGTTTGTACATTTAAATAGTGTCTCCTAGCATTGGTTTATGATCTTTCCTCTCTGTTGTGGTGAAGTGTTCAATTTCTTAATTCAGTTGGTTTGGAGGAAATGAGACATGACAACTAAATGTATGTAAGTTTATACCTCTATTTAGAGTATGTGCTTCCGGCGGGGAAAAAAGAGAAGATAGAAAGCTTGCAAAAGGAGAACGGAGAGTGTGTGTCTGATAATGAAGGGCTCAAGCAGATGGCATTGGATTAGAGCAGCGAAGGTAGCGGCAGGTGCGGAAGGAATGCTTGCAGGCTTTCTAACTAAGCTCTTCTCCCTCCGATGAGAGCGAGGTGCCTCACCTATTCAGTTCTGGAATGCCTTAGTTCGAAGCTGGGATTTTCTATTTTTTGGATCCTAGGCGGAATTCAGTCGAGTCAATTTCATCGAACCTCAGTCTTTCTCATGTTCGACTCTCCTTTTAGTCTCAGAAAGAAACTTTTCGAGTTATCACTTATAGTAGTGTTCGAGAACACTGAAATGCCAATCTTTTATCCGAATGTTTGAGAATGAGACTCTCAGAGCGAGATCGGTAGTCCAACACATTATCTGCTAAAAAATATGCTCACTACTAGGGTTGAGCACGGGTCTTAGAGATTACCTAACCGTTTCGAAAATCGAACCGAATTTATCCCCTACCAAAAATTATCCCTTAACCGTTTGACTATCTCCGAACTGAATCGTACCGAAACTCTTTTTGGTACGGTTCTGGAGATTCATAAAATACGTACCGAGAACCGAATTGGACCGAATCGAAAATAATTGTACCGAGCCGAGGAACCGAACAAGGGCCGATTCCAAATCATAAAATCCATATATGTATATATATATATATATATATATATATATAATATTTTATCATATATCTGTTTTTCATCTTTGTACATAATTGTATTTAAAATTGAATTGCAAATAAAATCTATATATATTATGTCATATTTAAAATTGAATTGCAAATAAAATTTATATATATTATGTCTATTCCATAAAACTATGATAAATTATATTTCAAATCGAGTTGCGAAAAAAATCAACTATTGAATGATAACAAAATTCAATAATTGAAAAAAAAAAATATATTTTATTTTGGTACTGCTTATGAGATACTATTAAATCTAAAATCTCATTTTCTAATCAATTTTTTGAAAAGAAAATTAAATCAATATACTCTTCCTATTACAATATTTGCTTTATTAAGATAATCATTAATTATAACTTAATAAAATTAAAATATTGAATGTTTGGAAACTGACCTTTATGAAGTAAATCTTTCACAAAACCTGGAGAGAATTAGTTATTTAAAGGTGATATATTCTAAATAAAAAATAAATTGATAGATATTTTACCATAATATTGGATTAAGAACGGATTATTGTATTAATAAAACTAATTATAACTTAATAAATTAAATATCTTCACTTTTCGAAAACAAACTTTATATGTATCATATCTGAGTCTCACGATATCAGAAGAGATTAATTTATTTGGACATAGTATATTTCTAAAATATCCTTTTATTTAACAATTAACTATCTTTAAATTGATTATTATTCATGGGTACGTCTTATCACTTGCGGACTTTTTGGCATTAAACGTTTGGCATATAAATCTTTCTAATTAAATTTTGCAACTAAAAATTAATTATCACTTTTTTTATAAACTAAAAAAGACTTTAACCACCTATTCTTACTATTTATTGACGAAATATCTTTTGTAAGAGAGGTTTATGGTTTTCTTTCATCCATGATATGTACCCTCTAACATGTAATTAGGAGATCTTTTTTAAAAATAAAATTAAAAAAAAAATCTTCGAATCTCAGATTCGTACCGAACCGACAAATTAGAGTCGAATCTCCGAACCGAACCGAAATGAACCGTTCGGTTCGGAAGAGAGATTTATTGGAACCAGTTCGGTTGGGGAGATCCAGATTTTGGAATCTTCGAAGTTCAGTTTGGTTTCGAAGATTTTTTAATCTCCGAACCGAACCAACCCGTGCTTAATCCTTCATTACTGATTCTAGTCATGTTAGTTATTATGAAAATATCTATTTTCACCTAGCTTTCGCCTTCCTCATGAACTGGTGATGAATTTGTGTGAGTAGAGGCCAGCTGCGAGTGGAGGCCGACGGCGGTATGTAAGTGGTGATGAATTTGTGTGTGTGTGTGTGTGTGTGTGTGTGTGTGTGTGTGTTGTGTCTTTGAGTTTATGAGAGATAGAGGTAATGGTAGGGGTGAGGTCCACTATGTGATTGGAATTTGACCAGAATACCTCTAATAAGTGGTCAAATGCATATATTTGACCACAATATGATCACTTAATTACGAGATTGCCACAACATGTTTGACTGACATTAATAAAATTTGACTTGACCATGACTTTTATATTTTAGATATAATAGTGTAGATTATTTATTATTATTTCTTTCACAATTTTCCTTTTTTAATTGATCCCAAATATATATATATATATATAAAAGAATTACGATTATCATTAATCAATTATATATTCACACTAAATATTTCTGGAAGTTATTATAAAAGAAATATATATATATATATACGTAAGAATCGGGGAAAATGACATTCCGGTGCTCATTTTCGCCGGAATAGCTGATGTGGCGCCCAGTCAGATCAGAATTTCCATTCTCGGCGTGATGTGGCACGAGGTGGCGCCTAGTCAGATCAGAAAAATTGCACTATCCGTCCACTAACTTTACATTCGTTGCATTTTCGTCCTTTAATTGTTTCCGGTTTACAAAATCAGAAAAGAATATTAAAAAAATCAAAGAAAAATAAAAAGCTTTAAAAAGAAAACGGAAAAATCAAAAGAAAAAGAAAAAAATATATTTTTTAGTTTAATAAAAAATAAAATATTTAATGATTAAATAAAAATGAAATATTTAATAAAAACGAAATAAATTTATAATATTTAATACAAAAACGAAATATTTAATAAAAAACAAAAATATTTTTTATTAAATATTTAATTTTTCATTAAATATTTAACCATTAAATAAAAAATATTTGTTAAATATTTATTTCGTTTTATATTTCTTTTTTTATTAAATATTTTTTATTTTTTATTTAAATAAAAAAATATTTTTTCATTAAACAAAAAAATGATAAATATTTCTTTTTTATTAAATATTTAACCATTAAATAAAAAATATTTATTTCTCATTAAACATTTCTTTTGTTTTCATTTCGGTTTTTATTAATTATTTTGTTTTTAATTAAATAAAAAAATGTATTTTTATTTTAAAAAAATATTTTTTTTTTATTTTGTTTAAAATCATTAAACAAAATGATTTTTTTATTAACTGATATTCTTTTTTTTGTTAATTTTTTTATCCACATGTCTTTTCATTTTCTTTTTAAAGCTTTTTCTTTTTCTTTTGCTTTTCTTAATATTTTTTTTTTTCTTCTGATTTTGTAAATCAGAAACAATTAAATGGACGAAAGTGCAACGAATGTAAAGTTAGTGGACCAATAGTGCAATTTTTTCGATCTGACTAGGCGCCACCTCGTGCCACATCACGCCGAGAATAGAATTTCGATCTGACTGGGCGCCACATCAGCTATTCCGGCGAAAATAAGCACCGGAATGTCATTTTGGACTAAAATTACCAAAAAAAAAATGTTAGTGTACCAATTGTAAACCGGAAACAATTAAAGGACGAAAGTGCAACGAGGGTATAGTTAGTGGACGAATAGTGCAATTTTTCCTTCATTCCACCTTGGACAAGGTCTTTGAATCACAAACCATGAAAATCATTGGAAATTCACTTAGTCACATAAGTGTCGAATTCTTTGTAGGTCATAGATAAATCTCCATACACATTGATATAGTAGCCAAAATATCTCTTTTATGATATTGTCCAACAGTCAACGGATAAATCAATGTAAAGCACAACATACACAAGATTACTATCGTGGCTCAAGACAAGAGGACCAATAATCATGTACTATTGCAATGCGAAAATTCTTGTTCGACAGTTAAAAACTTTTAGTTAAAAATTTTCATCGGGACATGTTCAGTGAACTTATTCCCCAACAAGCACCTGCATATATGCATTTACGTCCACACGCTAATGTTGATGGAACGCAACATCCTCGTCCAACGAGCATTATTCATATGCACAAGTCTTACCGGGTTATTCAATGTCTTTGTCTCACAAATACCCATTGACTTGAAACTTATTTAAGATCATAGATTTATTGACATGTTCCATGACTTCCATAAAATGCGCAACCATGCCTCATACCTAACATTGATCTAAGGGCGCCTACTCAAGCAATGGAACCATACTACCTTAGTTATGGTCCGCAAGGGCTCCCACGCATCCCAAGTATCGGATTTCCGACCGATAGCGTGTTGCAACACTACTTACAAAATTTGCTCAAAAATTATTGCTCAACGCATTAGCTCCGTTCTCGACTCAATCATTGATGGAGCTCAAGCCGCATTTGTGAGGGGTAGGAACATGTCCGATAATATTCACCTCATGCAAGAATTACTCCGGCAATACATGCGAAAGAGGATCTCCCCGAGGTGCACTATCAAGATAGACCTTCGTAAGGCTTTCGATTCTATCTCTTGGGCTTTCTTGAGGCAAGTTCTTCTTGGACTTGATTTTCCGACAACCTTTATTAATTGGATCATGGAGTGTGTCACCAC